TATATATATACTGTGGCGTCCAAAAGAAACTTGAAAATGTAATCACTAAATCATCGTGTAAAAGCTTCGCATTAATTTCTCATGCAGCATACCAATTTAAAGCTAAATAAATTCTGCATCATCTGACACATTAATATTTCATTTAGGTTAAGAATATTGACCGTTTAAAAAATCAGTCTTTGCAAAATTGTGCGAAACCAAAGAAATGTAAATTTGTCTTCGCTTAGAGTAGTAAACAAAGGGTCTGAATTGGGAGCAAAGTCGCTATTCTTCAGCTGCTTTTTCATGGGACTTCACCCTTCACATACATGTAGGAGTCATGTCGGGACTATCTATTAGTGACCACTCCAACGTTGGTTTGATCTGGTTTTCCAAGAACTATCTAGTGTAATTGACCCTGTGAAAAAAAGTTCTTTGCTGTGCATGGAGATATCCCTTGAATAACACCATGACGAAAAATACAGTTAGACGTGACGCTCCAGCACTTGCGCGTTGTAGTCCACTAAACCAAACCAACCGATGATTCTCATGAGGGCGGTTTTGTTCATTCCACCCCAGACCACCCAAAACCATGGTAGTTTCACAGACAGATGAGTATGTCCAAAATCTAATTAACACAGTCCATGTGCGATCGACACGAAACCATTGGCTCCTAAACAAAATCAAAATTAATATTACTGAGCACATGTTATGTTAAGTCCAGGTTGTTTGTGATAGTTGTAACTGCTCTGTTCTCCAATCTGTTTGAACATATGATCAGAATATGCTGATCATTGCAGAGACAACAATTATATCTTTTCATTTGATATTCAATACGTCATGTCCATTCCACAAATGTTAATGCAATTCAATATACGTGCGAACACACTTTTGCGTTCCTCTGATTTCGCACAATTTTGCCAACACTGATTTTTTAGGTCAATTTTTATGTGACCCTATCTCGGGCGTCTCTTAACATAGATGAAATATTAATCTGTCAGATGATGCAGAATTTATTCAGCTGCATGAGATGGTAGGGTGAGCTGATAATACGATGATTGGGTGATTACAAGTTTCTTTTGGACGCCACTATGTACCCCGCCAGGGTAGTGCTACTGACGAAGTTGTCTTTAGGCCATCCGAAAGGGGGAATGTTAACATGTTCTTATGCACAGAAGAATTATAAATGGGCTGATTTATCAATGTCATGCTCATACTGTGCTTGGACAACATAGGGAGAACTGCTGCTTTTTCTTTCCTCATCCTTTCTATTGTCGTTTTTCCTCTGCTTCTTCAGTATTATTGTCGCTCTCTTGTGAACTGCTATTTCTGGGGTGCCTTGATAGTCGAAGCAGACTTTATGAGGCTAGAGGGGTGAGCAGAGTAGGCCTGATTCCCCATTTGGACTTCTCTGTTGATATCCACCCCTTGGCACTCACATGACCTTATGCAGTTGAGAGCGCCGTAAAGACTTACTAACTCTCTCTCTCTCTCTCTCTCTCTCTCTCTCTCTCTCTCTCTCTCTCTCTCTCTCTCTCTCTCTCTCTCTCTCTCTCTCTCTCTCTCTCTCTCTCTCTCTCTCCCTCTCTCTCTCTCTCTCTATATATATATATGTATATATATATATATATATATATATATATATATATATATATATATATATATATACATAGATAATTATATATATATATATATATATAATTATCTATGTATATATACCGAAAGAGAGAGAGTCAGAGAGAGAGAGAGAGAGAGAGAGAGAGAGAGAGAGAGAGAGAGAGAGAGAGAGAGAGAGAGAGAGAGAGAGAGAGAGAGAGAGAGAGAAACGGGGTGAGGGGGAGGGGCTTTTTCATAAATGTGTTGAAAATATAATCCCCTCGCATTTAAGCAACTTCATTCAAATGTATGTTCTACCAAGATCTCTAGAATCAGGAGGTCAGTCTTTTATGAGATCACCTAGGAAGAGAGGTCGAAAACTCGCTGGGATATCATTTTGCACTTCACTCCATCTGTACGGGACTCTGCAACAACGTTTTAGAGACACAAAGTCGAAGGCTGAATTTAGAATTCATTTGAAAGCATACTCTATGAAATGCTTGATAGTTAACCCTTCATATTCAAAATGATATTATATTCATAGTATGAGGTACATATCATCATCAACATTGACTGCATTGTGATTGTTTAAATGTCATCTTAAGTGTTAGTGTTAATTAAAACACCGTATGCTTACTTGTGCATTAGGTAGTATTTTGTGTTAAGATAAAAGCATTGTAAAGCACCTAGAGCTGTATTGTAAAGGAATAGGTGCTATAGAAAGTATTTGCAATATACATGTCTATACTTATATTTATATATATACGGATATATACATATACATATATGTATCTACAAATGTATATATATATATATATTATAGACAGATAGATAGACAGATAGATAGATAGATAGATAGATAGATAGATAGATAGATAGATAGATAGATAGATAAAGCATGTTTATTGGGCATTGCCTGATCAGGTGTAGATAGGGAGACACAAACATGTAGAGTAATATTGGTTCATTGACTCATTCTTTGGTAGCCACTGGGACGTGTCTTTCTTAAGTAATGAGTAATGCATGAGAAGATTGTGGTCGTGATTAACGCCAGAGGGTGCACAACAGATAGAGAGAAGAGTGCATCACAATTAAATATTTGCTGCCCTCACTGAAACAATTCAGATACGTAAAGAGGGGGCTTTCGTGGTAGAGAGGTTATGGTGATTGCCTCTCATTCAATAGGTCATGGGTTCGAATCCGGACAATTTCTTCTCTAAAATGTTCTCATTTCAAATCTTTTCTTTCTCTATAACCACGTTCTGTCGTCTGCTTTTTTCTCCACTTTCAGCACCCTCCTCTGGACTTGTCTGACTCTTTCTGCAGCATTTCTACTGCTAGCCTGCTCCTCGGCTCCTTCTCGTAGCTGCCTTTCATCAACACCCCTAATCTTAGGGCAGGTAAGATCTAACACCTAGTTTTCTCGGATAACGGCGAAAAATCTCGAAAAATCCCTTGTTGGTCCTAAAAATCGATAAGAGTAGGCTTCGTCCGCCACCCGGGCAAAATTCAAAATTTCCTTCCAACTGAAAAACGTTAAATGTGTCCCGCGCCCTCATATGACCCTATACAGTTGCCAGGGCCGTAAAACGATTACCAAAAAAACAAGAGATCCGTAAAGGACATGGACAGCTTCGGCCCTGTCGGTCAGCGCCAACCCTGACTGAATAGGATTACAGAACACCTGCAGAAGAAAGACCGGTGTTCGGAAAAAAGCAGAGAC